CCGCACACCATGGTGCCCAGGCTCAGCCCCGTGCCCTTGTACTGGTAGACCAGGTTGGCCAGCAGCTTGGAGGCGGCGGCCACCGACACGGGCTCCTTGTTGCGCAGCTCCTGCACGCGGCTCTGCCGGGCCACCAGCCGCTGCCAGAAGCTGCAGTCGGCGGCGCCGCCCGCCAGCGTGCCCAGGATGTGCCGGGTGATGCCCAGCGCCTTCCGCACCGACTGCGAGGCGATGTACGAGCCCGCCGTGGCGCGCGAGTCCACGGCCACCGTCACCCCGAAGGGCGTCTGTGCCAAACAAAAAATCACAATTTTTTACCATTTTTTTAGGATTTTTCACCATTTTTTTAGGATTTTTTACCATTTTTTTAGGATTTTTTACCATTTTTTTAGGATTTTTTACCAATTTTTACCATTTTTTTCTGATTTTTTTACCATTTTTTTTCCATTTTTTACCATTTTTTTCTGATTTTTTTACCATTTTTTTTCCATTTTTTCCCATTTTTTTCCCATTTTTTTCCCATTTTTTTCCCAATTTTTTCCCATTTTTTCCCCATTTTTTCCCATTTTTTCCCCTTTTTTCCCCATTTTTTCCCATTTTTTTACCATTTTTTTTAGGATTTTTTCCATTTTTTTCTGATTTTTTACCATTTTTTTCTGATTTTTTACCATTTTTTCCCATTTTTTCCCCATTTTTTCCCATTTTTTCCCATTTTTTCCCCATTTTTTCCCATTTTTTTCCCATTTTTCCCCATTTTTTCCCAATTTTTTCCGAATTTTTCCCCATTTTTTTCCCATTTTTTTCCCATTTTTCCCCATTTTTTCCCATTTTTTTCCCATTTTTTCCCCATTTTTCCCCATTTTTTCCCAATTTTTTCCCAATTTTTCCCCATTTTTTCCCATTTTTTCCCCATTTTTTTAGGATTTTTTCCCCATTTTTTTACCATTTTTTCCTGATTTTTCCATATTTTTTCCCATTTTTTCCCTTTTTTTCCAAATTTTTTCCCCCATTTTTTCCCCATTTTTCCCCATTTTTTCCCCATTTTTCCCCATTTTTTCTCCATTTTCCCCATTTTTCCCTATTTTCCCCCATTTCATTCTCCCCCGGCGCGTTCCGCACCGACTGCGAGGCGATGTACGAGCCCGCCGTGGCGCGCGAGTCCACGGCCACCGTCACCCCGAAGGGGGTCTGGGGAAACAGGAACAAAATCACAATTCTTACCAATTTTTTCTGATTTTTTACCATTTTTTTAGGATTTTTTACCAATTTTTTCTGATTTTTTACCATTTTTTACCATTTTTTTAGGATTTTTTACCAATTTTTTCTGATTTTTACCATTTTTTTAGGATTTTTTACCATTTTTTTAGGATTTTTTACCAATTTTTACCATTTTTTTAGGATTTTTTTACCATTTTTTTTCCATTTTTTACCATTTTTTTCTGATTTTTTTACCATTTTTTTTCCATTTTTTACCATTTTTTTCCCATTTTTTTCCCAATTTTTTCCCATTTTTTCCCCATTTTTCCCCATTTTTTCCCATTTTTTTCCCATTTTTTCCCCATTTTTCCCCATTTTTTCCCAATTTTTTCCCAATTTTTCCCCATTTTTTCCCATTTTTTCCCCATTTTTTTAGGATTTTTTCCCCATTTTTTTACCATTTTTTCCTGATTTTTCCATATTTTTTCCCATTTTTTTCCCTTTTTTTCCAAATTTTTTCCCCCTTTTTTTCCCATTTTTACCCAATTTTTTCCCATTTTTTCCTAAGTTTTTCCTCATTTTTTCCCCATTTTTTTCTGATTTTTTCCCCATTTTTTCCCATTTTTTCCCCATTTTTCCCCATTTTCCCCCATTTTCCCCCATTTTTCCCATTTTTTCCCCATTTTTTCCCCATTTTCCCCTATTTTCCCCCATTTCATTCTCCCCCGGCGCCTTCCGCACCGACTGCGAGGCGATGGACGAGCGGCCGTGGCGCCAGAGCCCACGGCCACCGGCACCCCGAAGGGGGTCTGGGGAAACAGGAACAAAATCACCATTTTTCCCCAATTTTTTCGGAATTTTTTAGAATTTTTTCCCATTTTTTAAGCATTTTTTCCCATTTTTTTAGCATTTTTTAGCATTTTTTAAGGATTTTTTACCATTTTTTTAGGATTTTTTACCAATTTTTTCTGATTTTTTACCATTTTTTACCATTTTTT